TGTTCTCAGTCACGAATCTATGAAATCTTCAAAACTAAAACGTCATTCGGAACACACCAAAAAATATATGGAGTTCTTTCGTCGGTAAGAAGCTAATTGCAAACGCCAGAGACTTGATAGAACAGGAAGTTTTCACCAGCATTAGTGCAAGCATCAAATGAAGTCGCGATAGAAAAAGCCAAGCAAAAAAAAAAAAAAAAAAAACAATAGGAGAAAATCTCATCAAACGCTGCTTGCATGTACGTAAATGTTAAATAACACATTTTTATTGAAATTAAGCTTTCATCGTTGTTTGCTTTTCAAGTTGATAAATCAACAGACGTGAGTTCGTGTTCGCAGTTGCTGGTCTGTGTCTATATTCATGCGGATGATAGCAAAGAAGAGTTGCTCTTTTGTGAAGATAGCATGGAGAAAATAAATACCTTTTTTTAAACTGGATGATTAAAATGGGTTAGAACGGCTGTGGGGGTTTGTACGGATGGCGCGCCATCTATGTTTAGCTCAAAATCGGGCTTTCAGAAAACAGAAAAAGAGTCAATTGCTAGTAAAAGTCGTAAATTATATAAAATCTGGAGCCTTCAAAGAACTGAGCAAAAACATTAATATAGATCACGAGGTTCTGCTCAGTGTTTCTGAATTGAAATCTGAAATCAAATTGTCCTTGGAAGTGCAAAGGAAACAAGACTTTTTGGTATACTTAAAACGACATAGAGTGGTTGGAGAGAGTATCATACCTAGCAGATGTGTTCGAACATCAAGATAAGCTTAACCTGAAGCTTCAGGGAAAATGAACGAGCATTATAACTTTCCATGATAATCTCGGGGCATTTTTATCAAAACTGCAAAATCGGTAAAGAAAATAAATCTTGGAAATATTGTAAATTTGAGAAACTCTGCGGTGTGGTAGATGAATCTGACCGTGAGATAATTAAAATTTTGAAAGAAGCTATTTCTCTGATCTGAAAAAAGAAGAATCTGCATTTACGCATTACCCATTCTCTTCTTCCCTTGATGTTGCCAGCATTACAAGATGAATTCTTTGATTTGCAGAATGATTCCGAGTAAGATGAAAAACTGCAGACACAATTTTGGTGTAGTATTCACCATTCATACCCAAACGTAAAATTGATTGACTTTTCGATAATATATTTTCAACACTATTCTTCGATCAAAAACAAAATTAAGATAATTATAATGACATAGATTGGCGTTAACAAAAAAAATTTTAAATTAAAAAATTAACCACGAAGGTTTAGTGAATAGTATACAATTTTACTCATGCTATTAAAACAGTTATCAAGAGTAGTTCATATTGAAAGTCTACTAGAAAATCTTATTTTAGTGCTTATTAATGCCCATACTAATTTCGGCTTTTTAATTCTATGGGGGTTGCGGGTCACTTACTTTTTTATAAAAGGGGTCGCCACTCGAAAAAGGTTGGGAACCACTGATCTAGCTGTTTTTAAACAATTTTATTAAAAAAACTCAGTAATAAATAAAGATTAGCGATGATTTCATCAGATGCAACCAAGCTCATTTACTTTGACTTTAGCAGCCATCTTGTTTAAGTTATTTTTGGGTAAAATTATAGTTAGAGATTCAGGGGAAAACACTCTAACTTACAGATGGCCACTTTTTATATAGCAAATCCTGCTCGCAAACACTGTTATTTAAAGTTTTGCTAACTTCTCACCTATAATCTATGATTCTATATTGATATATTTAGCCATGGATTTTGTTTATTAATATTATTCAGTTATCTATAATATTTGACACAAATTTATCACAATATACTTCTAGTAATTATTAAGGCTATAATGATAACATTACAATAAGGCAACTTTTTCGCACATTACTAGCCTCGCCTGATTTTACGCACCTAAAATGATAGCGGGTATACTTTTTTAACACTTTTGTTAAAAGTTGAGAAAAAATCCAAATTTAGAATATTGAATGTGCAATGTTCGTGTGTCAGAATTTTCATGGCAATGTCAATGGGTGAAATACGTAAACTTAACTCACAATTGCAAAGGCGGTTAAGTTTGTATTGTATTGTTACAAGTATCTCTCAATGAACTTACAATGACCCCCAAAACCGAGGCCAACACAATTTCAAACAGCTATTGCCCGAGCTATGACGTATGCTGATAATGGACACAAGCGAGTTGACGAGATTCCTTCCATAGTGTTGTTGACATGGAATAAAAACGTGCTTTTTAGATTTAGACCGTAAAAAAAAATAAAAAATAAAAACTTAAGCCTAAAATTAATTTAGAAATTTTATATTTTTAGAATAAATGCTATAAAAGTTGCAAATCAAGAGAACTTGAAAATAATTTGTTGAGTTTAAGGCTACATTTCTATTTATTTTCATCAAGCCTAAGTTATAACCGGATGTTTCACTTTCGTAAGACAAATATTGATTGGCTGTACAGTAACTTAGTGATCGATAACTATTTGTTTACAAAACTTTGCAGATCAAGTTTTTAAATAACAATGCAAATTTAAAACCCCATGACCTAGTTTTCTATTTTTAGCTTACAATGTGTACAATAAAATTTATGGCGGACTATCCAATAGCAGGATGCCATTGTTTATGTCGCCATTACACGTGAACCAAATTGTTTTTGCTTTTTTTTTAAATTTTTTTTTAGTTACCGAAAATATTAAAAACATCAAATACGTCCAATCTTTAGTAAAGTCCGAAAAAAACCAGACAGACAGGATTTTATAACCATATTAATTGTAACTACGCCGTGCAAGATTTTAAAATTAATTTATGCACCTCTCAAATACCTTTGAGACTTTTCTCGCTTGTGTCCAGTAAAGTCAATGTGAACTCACTATGAACCCGCCACTGTGTAAGGATTTTTCTCCCGCTGACGATCACACGATATTCAATTTGAACAGTTCTAATGCTTTTTTATGTTTTATTTTACCTTTTCTAATAAAAAATCGCATTCATAAAAAAAATAAGTAGATCTGTGTTTTCCTAACGTTTTTGTGTGTTTCGGTTGTGTTTACAATAAAATACGCTCAACTGGAGGTGAACATCAAGCAGGAATTAAATACGCTAAAATGGAGTTTTACAGTGTCTGTCTAGTATTTTTAATATATAAATTATACTATTATAGGTAATCTTTAATCTAGATTCTAGATCTACCTAGATTCTATTTACTATTTTACTTACTATTTATTAGTAACACCTACTGACCTAGTTACTGTTAGTAATAAGTGACAGTGAGTTAGTACTGATCTAGACCTAGAATCTAGATTCTACCAAGACCTAGACTAGATCTAAATCTAATTGGTTAACTTACAGCATTAGGAATAGGTGCAACTTTATCGGCCATGTTGCCACAGAAGCAAAGGACATCTAATCTAGACTAGTTCTAGATTCTATAGATCTAGAATCTAGATTCTAGATCTGGATCAACTAGCTAGAGTTGCTAGAGTGACGAAAAGGGTTCGAGCTTTATTGTTGACATGGATAATAAAAAACTAGGATCTAGATCTAATCTAGATTCAATGTTTTTTTCTTTCTTTTACAATTTGCTATCTAAGCTGCAGTAAATTGAAAAGAAAAATTAGGGCCTAAAACTTAAGTTTGAAAATAAATTATTAAATTCAGAAATTTATTTTTTGAGGTTAAAAAATGTTTTAATTAAGATTAAGGCTAGATTTCTCCAGACAGATTTAGAGTATAAAGGGAAACAATTATACTAATTATACAATACTTCTGTTTTAGTCGCTGTTACATAGCTTCATAGCATAAAATTATCATATTGATAAGGCTGTAACAGGAACTCAGTTAATAGTTAATATTCTTTAGGCCTAATTTGTAATTTCTCTACATCTGCTGTCTGCAATTATTACTTCATCATGGCCGGCGCTAGAGTGAAGGCGAACTGGCGGTCGCTTATGACGCTAGCCATTTAGACAACCAAGGGGGTCGTCCATAAATGACGTCACAATCGTAGGGGAAGGGGATCTGTAATTTTGTCCATAAATGACGTCACACTCGTAGGGGAAGGGGATCTGTAATCTTGTCCATAAATGACGTCACACTCGTAGGGGAAGGGGATCTGTAATTTTGTCCATAAATGACGTCACACTCCTTATAGTGGAAGGGGATCGGTAATTTAGTGACTGTGGCAAGGGGGAGGGGGGGGGGGGGGTTCAGATGGTGTGACGTCACACTTTTGCATTATAAATAAACCGGTAGTGATCTCCCCTAAACTTTCTCGAATATTCTTATATAAAACAACAGGGGATGGTAACTGGGGATATAGTTATGATTTTTAATCCATTTTAAATACTGAAAATTTTAAAAATAGAATAGAATCTCAGTAAAAAACAATTGCGCACCAAGCGAACGCCTAATAAAGGTGTGTATAATAGTGCGCAATAGTATTAGTACTTAATAAATTTACATTAGTTTTTTGAGAAATCGGAAGTAGCGTAAATTACTACTTCCGGTCAACGGAAATTACTCAAAATTTAACAGAAGGTAGAGAATTAGATCTTTTACTTACATGTGAAATTTCATTTATCTATCTGAAATAGTACTCAAGTTATAGGCTTTTGAAAAATTCAAAGTAGAAAAAGTACCACTTCCGGTTGTCGGAAATCGCTCAAAAGTTGATACGGATCTACGATTTTGATATAATACTTATATATGAAATTTCATCAACCTAGCTGTAACGGTACTCAAGTTATCGTGTTTACACACGGACACACAGACACACACAGACACACACACACACACAGACATACGGACAAGATTGCAAAATTATGTTTTTCCGTATCAGTGAGGTGTAAAACGTCGAGATTTGTAAAAATCTCTTTTTTTTTTTTTTGCACGATTACAATACTTTCTATATACTACGTATATACGAGAAAGTAAAAAGCAATGTTAAATAAACCGGGAGTGATCTCCCCTAAACTTTCTCGAATATTCTTATATAAAATAACAGGGGATGGGAACTCGGGCTATAGAA